GAATCAAACGAACAATAATTCTGACATGTTTTTATTCAATCCCCACCAACCGCAAACACTTTTTTAGGCGGTAACGTGATTTTAAATAATCACGAAAATTAAAAAAATGGCCAAAACGTGGCAACGACGGAGTCAAATTAAAATGTCTTTGGCATAAGTCGATAGAACGTAATTTTTTGCATCTTTTGGTATAAATACGAGCTCTGTACCTGCATTTCTGCGAAAGTTATGGATGTTTGAAGGTTACGACTTTAAAAAATGGCAACGCTGTTTCCCTGGGGTTCCTGCAAAAACGGAGCTAGGGATAAGCCTCTCTCACAACTAGTACTATCAGCCCACAAAGTTTCGTACATTCCGGGCTGGGTACATTTTTCGCCTATATGAATAACCCTCTTTTACAAGGAAACCAATGGGACCACTTTTAGAACCTCGAAATTTTGTATAAACGAAGTTATGAGCTTTTGAAGTTTCCAGATTTTGTCCGACCTTTCCTATTGACTTGGGGAGTCATATTGGGGAATCATTTGGGAGTTACGCCCCGCCAAGTCTCTCTCCCCTCCTCTTGGCACTTACTAATAAAAATTTTAAAGGTTTGTACTCAGGTTACGATCGTAATTTTTGTTTCACCAGACTCAAGATCGGCCCCGAAGAATGCGCCCGTCAAATCGCCGAGCTGTCTTTAAGCACGACGACCTTGGGTCGGAGGTGTTCGGCGCAGTACAGCAACCTGTTCTGCTCGGATCAGTACAAGTACCGCAGCTTCGACGGCTCCTGCAACCACCGGATGCATCCCGGATGGGGTCGCGCCAACACCGCTTACAGACGCCTCATCGCAGCGGATTACGATGACGGTACGCAATTCGAACCGAGCTCAATAAAAACGTCTTACAATTAGTCCAATGGCGATTCTTGAAAGCTGACAGCATTGTTTTCCTCCATTTCAGTGGCGTGGCGTGCTTAGAGTACCTTTATAGTGAGAGTATGGACAACTCGAAAATTTGGAGGTTACACTGGAAAAAAAAACACATTGGATCTAGAGTCCAGACTCTTAAAAACATCGACAAGAAAAAATACTCTCGATTCAATCGGAATTTTGCTTAAATCAAGAACTAAGCCTCTTAATTTGACCGGATTTCCTTTTGATTTTAGCGAAAATATGATTGAATCAAGAGTATTTTTTCTTGTCAATGTTTTCAAGAGTCTGGACTCTAGATCCAATGTGTTTTTTTCCAGTGTAGGTTTGATCAGGTCATGTAGCTCTTAGGGCCCGAAAGGGCAGCCAACCTATGAACTCGAATTATCCAATGGTACTAATTTTTTCATTTCAACTATTTACACTGATTAAAAATTATAAAAGCACGTATAAAACTTTAATTTCGCATTGATTTTCTCAGTTTCAATGTCTTGATCCTTTAAAACGCTTGATTAGAATGCGCTGTCAGTCCTATTGATTGTTCTTACAAATGCATAGCTTGGCAGCTGCACTTTTCTAGTGATTTTCGTTTTTCATGTTGTCACCCTTTTGCGCCCTAAGAGCTACATAAATCCAGTTGTCCATACTCTCCCTATAAAGGTACTCTAGGCGCGCTTTGAGATATATCGATAGATCTGCTATTTAAAGCTATGGAAAAGGATCGATAAAAGGGTGTTTGCAACGAACAACCTCAATAATCGATTCTTTAACATAGTTTCAAATGAGGAAATATCGAAAATCGATCATTTACGCCTCGCCACTGCTCCATTAACCCTAGTCTGCCTGAGTGGGGTCAGATTGACCCCACGGGAGTTTCAACTCTTTGCCATTTCTCGTGGTATGCACGAAATTTTTTGTCCTTCACAAACAGCTCTACAAAAACATCTAGGAACACGATTTTGAATGGAAAAAAACAAAAAAAAATGTGCATGAGAGATCAAAAAATTCACGAGTACCCCTAGAAAGCCTGAGCGGGGTTAGATATCCTTATAACATATATTTTACCATTTAGCATCACAAAAGCTTACTTTGAAGGTGTATTCATGAGAACAACATGGCAACATGTGTATGATAAAATGGTTGCATACCCTGCGCCGTGTTTTTTTTTAAAATTTAGATATGTTTTATGGTTAAGAGCTGTAAGGTTAGTGCACTTAATATAAACTAAAAACATGAAAAAAACATAGCTAACTAATTGATTTTCAGCTGGGGTCAAATTGACCCCGCTCAGGCTTTCTCGTTGGTTCAGAGGCTCAGGCAGACTAGGGTTAAAATAGATGTAAAACAATCGATTCTTGGTAAGGCAGCTTGCGCCTTACTTAAAATCGATATTTTCAATGGATTTAAACAGAGGAAAAACAGTGCTGCCGACTTGCAAAGTCACCGTTGACTTAGCCGCACCAAAGAGCTGAAAAAAAGAGGTTTGAAATTTTACACGTCCGTATGACTCAATGTTGAGGTGTTGAAGACTAACATTAACGACCATTCTCATGTCAAATAGGACGTATTTCTGTCAAACGGAACTATGTGCATTATGACCTGAGCCCTGAGACCTATAAGAATACATGCATAACAGGGCTCACGCCATAATGTACATAGTTCCGTCTGGCAGAAATACGTCCAATTTACTTTTCGCGCACATAACAAAAAGCGCATAGCCTCTGGCCTCTTATTGGTCCGTTTAAAAAAAAAAATAATATAAAAATATGAAAATAACGAGAAAAATATAGTGGAGTGAACAAAATGAAATGTTCTTGTAATTGCAACGTTCAATAATGTTAATGTTTGTTTAATTTGTTTTACAGAGACCAGTGGCGTGGTGTGCTCTGCGATATACAGATTTATTTCCCATTTAAACCTATGGGAAAGGATCGATAGACAGGGTGTTCGCAGCGAACACCTCAATAATCGATTCTTTACCACGGATTCAAATGGGGAAATATCGACAATCGATCACTCACGCCTCGCCACTGAGAGACCTAACAAGAAAACCAAAATAATTCTTTAAAATTTTCGGACGATAATTCGAATAATGATTAGAATTCGACGAAAAAAAGTACATTTTATGAAAAGAAAATTTCAAAACCCTACATTTTTTATTTATTTATCGATCTCTTTTCGTCTCGTTATTCTCAATAGTTTTACTTTGTCAATTTCGTTTTAATATTAGCCCTCTGTGTTTTTCAGGCATTTTTACTCCTCGTGGGTTGACAAGGGGCCAAGAATTTCCAAGCGCTCGACTTTTGAGTACATCGCTTTTCTATGATGAAGACCGCCCAGACTATACACGGACTCTTGCTGTTGTCCATTGGGGTCAGTTCATTGCCCACGATTTGGCCTTTACTGGAGTCTCCAAAATGTGTAAGTATATAGTCTCATAAAATGGATCCACTGCGCTGGTCACAGAATCGTGTTTTCATGCTCGATGAAAAAGTTCTTATGTAATTCTTACGTAAAAGTTCGCTAGGGTGCCACTGGTTTTCTCTGAAATCAGCTCTCCAGCTCAAAAAAAGCTCTCAAGTTGAGGCCAAAATGGAGGAGATATCCCACCCTACCCTGAGAGTCCACGTCTACATCAAGACAAACTCTCCATGCAAAGATGAGGAGCAAATGAACTGACAGGGCTGCCACTTTATTTGGGGACTCTAAAACTGAAAACATGGCAACCCTGCTAATGTATTTGCTCCCTATCTTTGCATGGAGAGTTTGTCTTGATGTAGAGACGGACTCTCAGGATAGCGTGGGATATCCCCTCCATATTGGCCTATACTTAAGAGCTTTTTTTGAGCTTGCTGCGTGCTGCCAGCACGAAACGGGCATTGGCGCCTACAAACCTAACAGGGATACTTCACGCATTGCGTTATGTGTGAAGTATCCCTGTTAGGTTTGTAGGCGCCAATGCGCGTGTCTCGCTTGACGACCTCGCCCGCCGCGCCGCGGCGCTTCAAGCAACTATTTCGCAGCAGAAGTGTTGCGTAGTATCATGCAAAATTGAGGGCGCTCCAACACATTAAATATGACAGTCATACTTTAAGAGCACCGAGCTTTCCTCGCAAAATAAATCAAGATACTACGGCACAAAAAGAGGGAGGTTGTCCAAAAACTCACCGAGACCTACCTTGGGCCTCAACTTGAGAGCTTTTTTTGAGCTTGGGAGATGATTTCAGAGAAAATCAGTGGCACCCTTGGGAACTTTTACATAAGAATCAATAATCAAATCGCAAATTCCTCACACATGCAACATTTCCATTTGGCAACACCGGATTCCTTCCATTTAAACCTATGTTAAATAATCGATTCTTATCGGAGCACCTGGCCACTCCAAGAATCGATACACTGCTTGCGTAGCGCTGAGCGTTGAATTCTAGTCTGACAGACTCAGGTATTTCAGGCCTGCCGAATCGGGAGAAAGGACGGAGAAGAAGGAAAAGAGAAATAGGAAAAAAAAGGAAAATTGGAATAAGAGGGAAAATTGGAATAAGAAGGAAAAGTGAAATAAGAATGAAAGAAAAAGAAGGAAAAGAGGAATAAGAATGAAAGAAGAAAGGAGGTGGTGGATGAAAAAAGAAAAAGAGAGGGAAAAGTTGGGGGAAAACGGAGAAAAAGGAAACTAACCTACTGGGTACTCTTTTTCCTTTCTCCCCTTCTTCCTCCTTTCATATTTTTTTCATTTCTTTTTCTTCTTTGTCCTCTTCCTTTTTCTATATACTTTTTCTCCTCCCCTTTTCCTTGAACAAATAATGGGTTAAATGGAGAAAAACAATGTTGCCGATTTGCTGGATCCGCCAATGATCGATTGATTTTTTTTCTCAAATGAATGTTGTTGTTTTAGCGACAGTGAACCTGGACAAAACCGTGAGCTGCTGTCAAGAAAGCGGGGCAACCTTGTCTCCACGTCACATTCACTCCTCATGCATCCCGATTTCAGTGCCCAAAGATGATCCTTTCTACTCAAAACACGGCCAAACGTGCATGAACTACGTCCGCTCTCTGAACTCGATGCGGGCTGACTGCCACTTCGGACCTGCAGAACAGGTGCGGCTTGGAAGGAAAATAATTATAAGGGGCAGTGGCGTGGCGTGCCTTTCGATCTATCGATATTTCCCCATTTGAGGCTGTGGTAAATAATCGATTATTAAGGTATTCGCTGCGAACACCCTGTTTATCGATACTTTTCCATATGTTTAAATTGCAGATCAATCGATATGTCGCAAAGCACGCCACGCTACTGATAAGGGGCTTGGGGGACGAGGCGACGAGGCGTATAAGTGAATTTTCGCTACTTCGAGAAATACATGTTTGAAGTTTAGAAGTTACATGGAGCCTTATCAATTTAAAAAACTTTGTTGAAGTACCAGACTAGAGTCAGACACTAGAAATAGTATTAAAATACATTAAAAAGTCACTGGTCGGAGGGGGAATTTCATTAAAAAATCTAGCAAAGTAGTTAAAAGTCGCACTGAAAAAAAATTCTCGGCGTTTTTACCAAGGTCCGTTGGTACCTTTACCATCTCACTTTTCTTTACCAATTATTGGTAATTTTACCAAGACAGACTGGTAAGCTTACCTAAAAACGGGCATTTTTGCTGCTTTTTTCAGGTAAGAATACCACTTTTATTGGTAATCAATTCCCGGTAACTTTGGCATTTTATCTCGGTAATTATACCACAGTCGATAAAAAATATTGGCGTTTTTACCGGGGTCCAGTAAAATTACCGATAAAGTCAATAATTTTACCGAGATTTCTTGGTAAAATTACCAATTCCATAAATGGTATTTTTACCAAGAAAAAACTGGGATCAAATAGAACCCTGAATTCTTGGTAATTTTACCCTTTTCTTAGTAAATACACCGAGATTTTTTTTCAGTTCGAGCAAAGTCGTAAAAAAATTGCGAGTCGCGTCCCAGAAGATGACCGATGATCCGTATTTATAGAAGATTCTGCGTGTACTGAAAAAAAAAAAAAAAAAAAAAAAAAAAAAAAAAAAAAANAAAAAAAAAAAAAAAAAAAAACCTCCGGCCGTGGAAGCCATGCTCACGGGACCGTCCAGGCTCAGAGGCCGAAAGTTCCGGGCGTGGCATCCGGAGCAATTGAAGCTATGGCTCCAGTACCCGGAAGGTTCTCTGAGCCCGGAACGGACGGTTGTCTAAATAGCCCGTAAACTTTTGTTTCTGAGTGAGAGTTGAATGATCTGAGGGACATTTTTTTTTCGGGAAGTTGTAGATGAACCAGGCGACGCACCTATTGGACGGATCCATGCTGTACGGAACTAGTCAGGAAAAGGCGAAGGCGCTGCGACAGATGAGCGGTGGCAAAATGAAAACGCAAATCGACATGGACGGACACGAATACCTCCCCGTTTTCACCCCCGACAAAAAAATGGAGCGCTGTCAAATCTCCCGCAACTCCTCCACCTGCTACGAATCAGGTATTTTGTCCTGCGGGCTGATTGTTGAAATTTATAGACAAAGTGATAGACAAAAAGAACTTAATGAGTATGGAGCGATCACTTGGTTAATTTGGATTAGAATACCTATATTGGGAGAGTACGGCCACTGTTGTTACCACCTCTGATTGGCTCAGCCATCTTAGGCTGAATGGAGCCCATAGGACCCGAAAATGGCGGACGCCATAAATTTATGTAATGCAAAATGACTCAAAATGTAGTTTTCTTTGCTTATCGTAACGAGAAATTTTCTCGAATGCACTTTTGCGACTTTTTTACATATTTTTAAGGCTAATCTTGTGCAATTTTTGAGAAAAATTATCTTAGATGTAGTAAGGTTGCCAACAGCAAGTGCGGTTGGTGATAACCGTCAAAAGTTGGCAATGACCCCCCTCTCATCCACAAAAACTAAAACAAAGCCCCGCCATTTTTGGGTTCTAAGCCTCTCTATGGGGTCCAGTGGCCATACTCTCTCAATATAGGTACTCTAATTTGGATGATCCTCATAGACTAAGGGAGGAAATGATGGACTAACTGAAGGGTCTCTCGTGAGTTGCCGTTAGTTAGTCTATTACCTACCTCCTTTGTCTATTGCAACCACCTGCTTCCATCAATAGAAGCCCTCCATATCCTTTTCGTATTTTTTGTCTATAGCTATGTCTATCCCGCTGCTCTGCTTTGAGAGAGTATTGTGTGCCGGAGAAAAATAGGCTTTTACCGTACGTCGTTTTATTAGGAAAGGTCAATTCCGTTTGGGACGTTGTAGATTTCCCGTCATATTTTATTTTCTCATCGGAAAACTAGTCACACAGGGTGGGCGAAAAAAAGATTCCCTCGGAATCATTTACGACTAGGGAGGATATTATCAAGTTGAAAATGATGAAAATTCGTCCAAATCGCATCTACAGTTTTTTTTCCCATCAAAAGTAGTTTTCAATGTTGTCTCCTCTAATGCCACAATTTTCTCGTCAATTTTACCCTGTAATTTTTCACGAACGGTATATTTGCGTTACGGCTGGTGAAAATGATTTTATTCAACACACAAGAGCTAAAAGTTTAGCTGGATTGATGCGGTTTTGAGGCCCCGAAATTGATTAGAATATTTACCTAAGAGTTCAACCTGCTGAAAATGGCAAGCTCCCGGAAAATGTTGATTTCCTCAACCACCTGATATGATTGGATCGTCAAATTGCTTATAACTGAAAATTTTCCTTCATGATTTTCCAGGTGACACCAGAGTAAACTCTCAACCTCAGCTTACGCTGATGCACACTCTATGGCTACGAGAGCACAACCGGTTGGCCGAACAACTGTCCATTTTGAATCCACATTGGAACGACGAGACCGTCTATCAAGAGGCCAGGAGAATCGTAATCTCTCAAATGCAACACATCACCTACAGTGAATGGCTCCCCGTTATCTTAGGTAGAAAACTAAAATATTTGTCATTTTAAGCGAGATAGAATTCCTCATTCGAATTGGGAATGGAGATGTTGCATGTGCGAGGAATTTGCGATTTGACTATTATTGATTCTTATGTAAGAGTTTGCGAGAAACTCGATGGTGCCACCGGTTTTCTCTGAAATCAACTCCCAAGCTCGAAAAAAGCTCTCAAGTTGAGGCCAAAATGGAGGGGATATTCCACCCTACTCTGAGAGTCCACCTCTACATCAAGACAAACTCTCCATGCGAAGATAGGGAACAAATACATTGGCAGTGATGCCGTGTTTTCAGTTTTAGAGTCCCCAAATAAAGTGGCAGCCCTGTCAATGTATTTGCTCCCTATCTTCGCATAAAGAGTTTGTCCTGATGTAGAGGTGGACTCTCAGGATAGCGAGGGATATTCCCTCCATTTTGGCCTCAACTTGAGAGCTTTTTTTGAGCTTGGGAGATGATTTCAGAGAAAACCAGTGGCACCATCGAGTTTCTCGCAAACTTTTACGTGAGAATCAATAGTCAAATTGCAAATTCCTCGCACATGCAACATCTACATTGGGGCTGTTAAGCACAAGAGTACCTCAGTAATAGCGACTGGTTAAAAAAAAGAAACAAAATTTAAAAAATTCGTCAACTTTATGAAGACAGCTTTCAAAAAACTGTTGAAATGTTCTTTCGATCGGCAGTGACTGAAAAAAACTGCCCGCCGACGCGAGAAACTTGAAAAAAAAGTGTTACAAACTACGCAGATTGCGTGCTGAGGTATGAATTTCAGACTTTATTGACGTCCCCAACGTGACTTTCGTGCAATTTTACCCGTGAAGAGTACGTTTGGACGTATTTCTGCCAAACGGAACTATGTGCAGTATGACTTGAGCCCTGTCATGCATGTATATAATGGGTCTCAAGGCTCATGTCTAAATGCACTTAGTTCCGTTTTGCAGAAATACGTCCATTTATATGACTGCATCTCTTGCGTGCAAGAGACCCATCCCACAAAATTTTAAACGGTTAAAATGATTTTTCTTTCATTCTTTTTTTTTCTTTTTTTTCTTTTTTTTCTTTTTTTCTTATTTTCTTATTTTTTTCTTTCTTTTTTCTTCTTTTTTCTTTCTTCTTCTTTTTTTTCTTCTTTTTTCTCTTTTTTCCTTTTCTTTTTTTCTTTTTTTTAAATTTTGTTTTAGTACATTTTAAGTATTTCTTCTTTTTGCGCAGGACGGAAATACACGAGCAGGAGAGGTCTGGCTCTTCTTTCTACCGGTTACAGTAATTTATACGATGAGGATGTCGACCCTTTCATCAGCAACGCATTTGGCAATGCAGCTATGAACTTCTTAGATTCAATGACCGAAGGAGTTGTTGGGTGAGTAGTTGTAGTAGTTAAAATTGTATGATTCTTTCTCTTCTTTCTCCGAAGAGGAGCGGCAGCGGCACCCCGTTTTGTTTTGAGTGGCCTGGTTACATGCTCAAATTTCCGTCAAATTTCGATCAAAATGATGACCAAGATGGCGGTCGAGAGTTATCTAGATTGATGAGTAAAATTAATTAATACAGCGTGTTGATTGAAATAAGCATGAAATAAGCACGGTTGTGTGGAAATCAGATGCGGGATGAGCCCCACAGCTCCCATCTACCATCAAATTTTTGCAAATTTGATGGTAGATGGTGCGCATCAGTCACCATTTGATCGGAAATTGATGGAAATTTGAGCGTATAACCAGCACACACGTGTTAAAAATTAGGAACATACACCATAGACCCAAGTTGCAGTGATCGCAATAATTCGCGATTTTATCGGTTGGTTATCGCGATTATATCGGTGGCAATAAATCGATATATTATCGCATTAAAATTTGCGATATTTGCCGATTAAATCGCTACACGTCGCAATTTTTGGTTTGATAAAATCGCGATCAGTTTTCGTCCATAAAATCGATATCAAACCGCTATTTATCGCGATATTTATTTCGAAAGTATCGCGATAAATTGCCGGGCGATAAAATCGCGATTTTATCCCGATAGGATCGAGGATACTCGCTCAGATGTTGATGATCCTAGCGATTTTATCGCCGATAAAATTACAATATATTCCGATTTTTCCGGTGAAAAATGCTACTTGGGGAGGCATCGCGGGGGAGGAGGGGGGAAAAATCCAAAATTTAGCGCGTATAGCGTATTTTATGAACGGATCCTACTTTGTTTGATTTCTCCGTATTCTTTGCGCTAAATGAAGCAAAAAGTAACCTCTCTAAGCTATCACACATGCTAATTATTCAATTCTACATCAAGTCTCATTTAATACGACTTGTATCCATACCGTTCTCGAATCCAAAAACATTTTACAACAAAAATACTGATGAAAAGTTGACATTTTTAGCAATAAAATTGCAAGCACTTTTTCCGCGGAGTTACAGTGTTATATGGATTACATTTTGCAATAAGGAGCCACTATCTCTGACTCTTCTATAAAAGCACCTTTCTACACAGGGAAACCAATGGCACATATGCTGTTTCTAAATTGGGAGGAAAATATTCTTAAATTTACCAGAAAATTCGCTTTTTATGAAAGGAAATTTGGCAATGCCTGAAGGTTTATACGAAGTTTCTCCTTAGTACGACAGTGAAGCCGATGCTTCTTTGGAAGGTATTGCAACATTGCAAATAGACGGTGAAAATTCCTAACCACGTATCTTATTTTCTGGTGTTTCAAAATATGAGCTTTAATTCTATTTCTTTATTGGAGAGGAAAAAAATAATATTATTCCTCATGAAGTTTTCGCAGACTTTTCTTCACACACTTAAGACAAATTACGGAAGCTCAAAAAAATTGACGTTGAGCAGTTCCACCCAAAGAAGTACGGCCAAGAATGTATGGGAGTATGTTCAAGTATGTCAGGGAGTCTGCAATTTCGAAAACTGAGATATGGACGTATTTCTGCCGAACAGAACAATGTGCATTAAGCAATGAGCCTTAAGACCCATAAGAATTTATGCATAACAGGGCTCACGTCATAATGCACATAGTTCCGTTTGATAGAAATACGTCCGTATATGATTTGGGAGTTTCACCATCGATGTTTAAAAAACTCTAGTGATCCTTACTGTGACATGATGTGATTCGCGATATATCGATTGATCTGCCATTTGAACCTATGGAAAAGGATCGATAAACAGGGTGTTCGCAACGAACACTTTAATAATCGATATTTTACCACAGCTTCAAATTGGAAAGTATCGATAAGCCGATCCTACCTTGGTAAAAATTGGCGATAGGAGCTGCGTTTCAAAATACCATAGGAGTTCTCATAGCCAACTAAAAAAGGCTATTGAAAATCATATAGCTGGCTGTAGAAAGCGGAGCAAATCATATAGCCGGGCTATACGAAGCTATATAAAATTATACAATCGGGCTATAGTTCCTATCGCCGGGCTTTGCACTTTATCGCCATAGGCTATAAAAGGCTATAAGAAATTGTGTAGAAATTCTTGTGCTTTGGAAATCATTAAGTTTAATATAGAACTACCTTAATTTTTACAAACCACACGTTATATTTTCCTTTGAAACATATTTTTTTTAATAAATTAAAATGAGAATAATCCATGCAGAGTGTGCAAACAGTTTAAAAATCATGAGTTGAAGAACGCTGACTCCGCCGGATTAAATATTAAGAGCCTAACACAAAGCGGAGCGGCGACGCACTGGCGCCTACAAACCTAACAGGGATACTTCACGCATTGCGCGATGCGTGAAGTATCCCTGTTAGGTTTGTAGGCGCCAATGCGCGCTTCGCGCTCTCTGCCCGCCCGCCGCGCATCAAGTATCAGAAGTAAATGTTGAAGAAGGAGTTGATATTATTGAATATCCTCTTGTTTGAAAAAAAAAAGATAAAAAAATAAATAAAAAAAAATAAAAAAAAAATGAAAAAAAAATAAAAAAAAGATAAAAAATGAAAAAAGATAAAAAAAATGAAAAAAAAAGATATAAAAGGAGTACCCTCTTCCGGATTTTCTCATTCGCTTCCTGGAGCTTAAAGGATCTTGATCGTTGGAGGAGTGGAATCAAAAAATGAGTCTTAAATTTCTGAGGAGGTACGTCAACTGGAACTTGCTTTTGCAGGATCCAGTCCTGACTTCCAAAGTAGCTGAAGCTGGTAAATCAGACAAATTGTCATACCAGCTCGTAGAAGAGATTTCATCATACATCGACTTCGATGAAATGTCTAATAATCCTAACACTCCAGAAAATATTCTTCATAACCACTCGCATCGATTAGATTTCCGACGTTTGCTTCTAAACAACTGTCATCTGTCAATAGACTTTATTCGTTCTCATGGTGTGGCATTAAATAAATGTTGGGATTTAATTTCATCAAAAATTCTTCTATCTGAGAAAGAAATGGAAGAATTCAGTTATCTTCTAGATTGGAAAATTGCATCACGTTATCAAAAAATGTCAGAAAGATTTATCAAAAAATTCAAACATAAAGTGGATTGGGAAAATATTGTCAAATATGAAGACGTGTCGAATGACTTTATTCTTGAAAATTGTCCCAAGGATTAGTTATATGATAGTTAGATAGATGTTTCTTTTGTGATGTAAAGTAATAAAATCATCTAGTGGAATAGGCCTACTGGGGATACCACTTTAAAAAAACGCGCTGATAACCCTACCTCTATGGTGGTGTGGAAACGGGTTTCTCCATAGCAAAAGATTGGTCTAGAGTGTTGTCAGCATGGGGGGTGTTTTAGTGGGGATCTCACTTTGCAGTGTTCTCATAATGTGTTCTGGCGTATTTTTGCTGGGGTCTCTCTTTTTCTAACTACCAGCTGCACGCCATTTTGAGACCGCCTGGAAGCAAATTTTACATCGTTATCACCGTTACAATTACAAATACGGTTGAAACTAGTAGACAGTGTCCAACATTTAGCTCATAATGCCGCACAGTGGATCGAGTCAATCAGAGAGGTCGGACATGAAATTTTTGACTAAAACTGCAATTTTTTTTTTTTAATTCGTCACGAAAACTTTTGATCGAAAGATGTCAAGAGAGAAGTAACGTCTCATGAGTCTGAGGGATGGAAAAAGACCCCGATTTAGGCGCAGCGCACGCTTATATAGACTTCCTGACGTCACGGGTGGTGAGACACCAAGTCCACGCGTGATTGGACGACTATAATCTATGTAGTCATCAGATGAAAGTTTAGTAATAAAAATTAATGTAGATGGATCGAATGATTGGAAGTGAAGAGGATTTGAAATCGAAAAATGGAGTTTTATGAAATGAAAAATGAATATTGGAAAAACTTGAAAAGTGTTGACACTCAGGTTTTGATTTATTACGAGTTTTTTTTTTCTTTATTTATTAAATATATAGATGACTACAATAATGTATTAATCCTAATTGGACTGCACTTTGCAATTTGGAACTATAAATTCTGGCTTATCTGAAAAAACACTTATGTGCATAGGGAAACTAATGGCACATATGTTGTGTTTAAACCAGGCCTGAATTTATAGTTCCAAATGGACCACTAGACAAGGTACGAATTTCAGCATTCTGATACATGTTTCGTAACTAAAATTTCACGTAGAACGAGGTGCACACAACAAATTTATCGAAATTAACTCCTTACGAAGATATTCATTGATTCCTGATGCATGAATTGAAACCACCCGCTTATGAAAACTCAATGCTCTACGTGATTTACATCGCTCGCTAAACGTTATCATGACAGTCTCTGCGATATTAAAATCTGGCAACCCCAATCTTTACGCTTTGGCTCAGCTATAGCAAATTACTTATATGTCAGGGAGTCTGCAATTTCGAAAACTGAGATATGGACGTATTTCTGCCGAACAGAACAATGTGCATTAAGCAATGAGCCTTAAGACCCATAAGAATTTATGCATAACAGGGCTCACGTCATAATGCACATAGTTCCGTTTGACAGAAATACGTCCGTATATGATTTGGGAGTTTCACCATCGATGTTTAAAAAACTCTAGTGATCCTTACTGTGACATGATGTGATTCGCGATATATCGATTGATCTGCCATTTGAACCTATGGAAAAGGATCGATAAACAGGGTGTTCGCAACGAACACTTTAATAATCGATATTTTACCACAGCTTCAAATTGGAAAGTATCGATAAGCCGATCCTACCTTGGTAAAAATTGGCGATTGGAGCTGCGTTTCAAAATACCATAGGAGTTCTTATAGCCGACTAAAAAAGGCTATTGAAAATCATATAGCTGGCTGTAGAAAGCGGAGCAAATCATATAGCCGGGCTATACGAAGCTATATAAAATTATACAATCGGGCTATAGTTCCTATCGCCGGGCTTTGCACTTTATCGCCATAGGCTATAAAAGGCTATAAGAATTTGTGTAGAAATTCGTGTGCTTTGGAAATCATTAAGTTTGATATAGAACTACCATAATTTTTACAAACCACACGTTATATTTTCCTTTAAAACATATTTTTTTTCATCAATTAAAATGAGAATAATCCATGCAGAGTGTGCAAACAGTTCAAAATCATGAGTTGAAGAACGCTGACTCCGCCGGATTAAATATTAAGAGCCTAACACAAAGCGGAGCGGCGACGCACTGGCGCCTACAAACCTAACAGGGATACTTCACGCATTGCGCGATGCGTGAAGGATGCGTGAAGTATCCCTGTTAGGTTTGTAGGCGCCAATGCGCGCTTCGCGCTCTCTGCCCGCCCGCCGCGCCGCAGCGTGCCACGGCGTCTGAAGCAACTTTTTCACACCAGAGGTATTGTACAGTATCATAAGACATTGAAGGCGCTCCAACATATTAAGAAGGACAGGCATCCTTCAAAAGTACGGAGCTTTACTCGCAAAATAAATCAAAATACTACGGCAGGAAAAGAGAGCGGTAGTCCAAAAACTAGCTCAGTCCTAGTATCCGTATTTAGTAACGTTTAGCATAAACTTTATCGTCTAGCTGTTGCTTAATCGCCATCGGCTATAAAAGACGATAAGAAATTGTGTTGTCGACTTTAGAAGCTATTGGAAATCTTACAGCCGGCTTTAGGTCTATGGTATTTTGGAACACAGATTCTACTGCCAATTTTTACCAGGGTTAGGACGTCTAGGGTCCGGTTAGGACGTATTTATGCTAAAAGGAACTACGTGCAATGGGTTTACATGCAACATAGTTCCTTTTAGCATAAATACATTCAACTGATCCATAAGTAACTTCTTACTGAGGAACGGTGACGCTACAGAAACGCTACATTCGCCTTGAAGAGTCACTTCTACAAGCCTGCAGTCGTCCAACAAGATGACAACTTTGACCATCTCATCAGAGGCCTGGCCACGCAGAGTAGCCAAAAGATGGACCTCAAATACTCAACTGCTGTGAGTAGACCTCCAACCTAAACTGAATCAGTGAGAACGAAAACACACCAACTCGGAAAAATGGCAAAAACCAAGACACACACAAAACTGCTCAGGAAGTGAAGAAGGTACTTTAAGAAAAATTATTTTGCTGCCGAAAGACAAGTACTTATGGACACTGGTCCAAGTTGCAACAGTTGCGCTATCTTTAACGAACTTTATGTAAATTAACTGTCTTTAATGGAAGTTGAGCTTTTTCGCGTTACCGAGTTGGTGTGTTTTCGTTCTCACTGATTCAACTTCTCAAGCTAAGTTCACCCTTTCATTTCTGCAGCAAAATCTACCACGCGCAGAGATGGAAAGTGAAATTTCAAATGCGGCTCGAATACATTTCACAAAAGTTGAAATTTATTAATTTTTTTTTTAGAATTATTAACTACACCTTTGGAGGTCTGAAAGCGTTTCAGATTGTTCCTCAGTCACGCATGAAATTTAACTCGAATAAATTTCATGAAATTTTCCATCTCTGCAGACCACGCGCCGTTATAAATCTGGCACTGGAGCTGGCAATAGGTAACTGAACCTTGGGTTTTTTATTCCATATTCTGAAATTAACGTGTGAGTGGATGACATGTGTTCGTTACCACCTGATGATGGGGCCATCTCGACCCCGAAACGCGTCCCATAAAATTGTAAATAGCGCAAGTGAGTTCGCGAAATGTTAGCTCTTTTTTACAAGATTACATGGTGTTGTGTATTTTAGGACCGAAAATCCCGGGTACGAACTTCATGGCCCATTCTGCCGTGCTAAGGAAGAACGCCGTATGAACATTCGAGAGTTGCCAAATTTCCTTCGGTAAAAGGTTTATTTTTAAGAAAAGTTATGAATGTTTTTCCTTGAAATTTTTAGGAACTTTATGTACAATTGCGAGCGGAATTATCTGAAAAATTGGAAGAAAAATATTTAAAAATTTTCCCTAAAATTCGTGATTTACTGACGAAAATTTGGCAACGCCTGAAGGTTCATACGGCGTTTTTTCTTAGCACGGCAGCATTGCCAAGTGCAGTTTTGTGTTTATGTTAGGAGGGAAAAGATAAAATACTTGAATCAACTGCTCGCTTCCGATTGGTGCCGGATGACATCACTTGGTTCGGCGCGAAACAGGGGCTTTTTAAATGTTGAATTTTCAATTTTAAATTTGCGGAAACGCTGCACTTTTTGAACTGCGTTTTTCTCGGTTTTTCAGTTATTTTTTTGCATTTTGAATGAGCGCATCGTCTTCTACGCATCATTTTAGGCCAAAAATTGTGTTCGCAGGTCAAAAACTGTTCATGGTTTAGTGGAGCCATTATTTCAATGGACCACTAGACAAGGTACGAATTTCAGCATTCTGATACATGTTTCTCAACCAAAATTTCACGTAGAACACGATACGCACAACGAAAATTACCAAAATCAACTCCTGACGAAGATATTTAATAATTCTTGATGCGTGAATTCAAACCACCCGCTCATGAAAACTCAATGCTCTACGTGATTCGCATCGCGCGCTAAACGTTATCATGACAGTCTCTGCGCGATGTAAAAATCTGGCAACCTCAATCTTGACGCTTTGGCTCAGCTATAGCAAATTGCCTGTAGTTCGAACAACACATGTTGGGAAATGAATATTGCTCGATTAAGAAACTTGCTGAGACCGTTGTCGTGCGCGATTTGACTCACGTAGAGCTTTGAGTTTCTTGTGAGCGGGCAGTTCAAATTACTCGTAACCAATGTGAAATGAAAAGGTTAATATCTTCGTTAGGAGTTGGTTTCAGTAATTTTCGTTGCGCGAATCGGGTTCTACGTGAAATTTTGGTTAAGAAACATGTACCGGAATGCTCAAATTCGTACCTTGTCTAGTGATCCATTCAAGATTCGTCTTTAAAAGTAGAGCTATCCATGCAAATGTTTTAATCGTCGCTTCCGAGTTAATTAGTTAGTAAGTTGCCGCGTGTTGTTAAAAACATAGGAAAATGGCGTCGTCTCCCATTTACGACTGCGTGTTCTCACCAATGCTGCCGTGCTAAGGAAAAACGTCGTATGAACATTCAAGAGATGCCAAATTTTCTCGAATAAAATGTTTATTTCTGAGGAAAGTTGTGAATATTTTTCCTTGACATTTTTAGACTATTGAGATCAAATTACGAGCAAAATTCCCTCGAAAATCCGAAGAAGAATGTTCATGAATATTCCCGAAAATTTGTGATTTTGTAATAGAACGAGGCCATATCACTTACGTTTCTAGGGCCGCATTCTATTATGCTTTCTAGCTCCTTCAGCCCGAAAGCCATCACTTTCGGAGCGCAAGCTCGCGCGTGCATTTCGGCGACCTCAGAGTATCTACCTTGGAGCATTATGGTCATCGCAATGACATCTTGGACGTCATCGCTCTTCCGGATGCTACCGAGATATATACTCTGAGGGGCCCGCGGCGCGGGGTCGTATCTTCGAGGCAGCGATCTAGTGATAGCGCTCTTGTATTCTCCGAATATACTGTCCACTCTACCATTTGAGTTACGTGAGTTTAGATTATTTCATCCCCCCATTACATAGTGGAGACGTCGGGAAAGGAGCACTTGTCATCCGGAAAATCCCAGGTTAGTAAGCGTTAAGTATTTAATTTTAAGTAGAAAATTTACAGAGTTAGTAGTAATTTTTCGAGCTTCACCAAGTCAAGATTCACGAAAACTATTAGTAATTATCATTTATTTGATTGTACGAAAACAGTTAGTAATTTTCAAGCTTCGCAAAGTTGAAAACAGAAAGCGTTAAGTATTTAATTTTACAACTAAGAAAATCTACAGAGTTAGTAGGAATTTTTCGAGCTTCACCAAGTCAAAATTCACGAAAACCAGATGTAATTTTCATTTAATTAATAGTACGAAAACAGTTAGTAATTTTCAAGCTTCACTAAGTTGAAAATAGAAAGCGTTACGTAATTTTCGAAAAATCGATTTTTTTTTTCCATTCTCAAATTAAGAACTGCTTACGAAACTCTAGGTAATTTTTCACTGCAATCGTCCATCTAAATCTAAAATTTTCATTTGCTTTAAAGTGAAAAATTAGCCGAAAGTTTAAAGTAAGTTTCGTTGGGAGCATTAAATTTACAGTGAAATTCGATTCACGGATTTTCCTTCGAATTTTCTGGGGCAGCAGAAAAACTATTTTTTTTAAATTCTGTTTCAAACTTGTGAGCAAGAACAAATCTTTACGAAGTTTAACTTGTGCATCCTTCAAAGTTCTGAAAGTTGATTTCTTCATACTGACATTTTTTTAAAAGAAAGTTTAGTTTAAGCGTATCGTTTCCTTGTGCCTATCGCAAATTTGGCGACTTTGTCTCAGATTTATCCTCCCGTGCTGATTCTCGTACGCAGCTGTGATCAAACTTTTCAAGTCACGACGCTGATTGCGCAGAGAATCTGGACGCGCGACGAAATCTGGGATTTCTTTAAGCCTTTTTGCTGATTCTTCTTTCATTGCTTCTATCAGTGTTTGCTAAATTAGTGCTAAATTAGTACCGAGTACGCGGACTTATCTTATTTTTTTTTGCTTAAGTCAAAATTTTCTCTGCTCGTCGGGAAATTGTGCGTCGTTCCATAAACATCGCGTCAAGTAAATAAACAGTAAAAGCTGCCTTGTCTACATTGAATTGCGACTTGTGTGAGAGTTACGGGAAGCAACTCAATGAAGAGAATAGCATAATACGAAAACATATTTTTCAAAATTGCGTTTTTAGAGACTCGTCTATGTTTCCAATCGCGTTTGTTGCACCGAGAGCGGTTTCGAAAACGCTGATGCGAGTAAACACCATGCAAAGCCGACCGAATCCATATTCTCTCATGCCGGCTTGGTTGAAAACGAGTACGAGGCGGTTGGGTTTAAATGGCAGACCGAACTTGTGCAGGCAGTCCCAGGACCAAGAAACATACTATTAGAAGGCATGGAGATCAGAGGAAACAGCCGGAAAATGACCCAAGACTGGAACCAAACATTTCAACCTGGTTTATGGGAGCAAAATTCCGCGCAGATGAATCCTCGAGGATACAGGGTCTTCCAAGTGGACGGACAAACGCCCTGGCAGCAAGAGATGCTCAGAGTATTGCAGAGTCACTGAAGTAAGTAAGTAAGTAAGTAAGTAAGGCCGGGCTGGCCGGCGAGGCGCCCTCAAGGGGCCAAGGCAACTGGCAACTGCCGTCGTGCACCCCGAAGTTGGACCGTACTCCTTAACTTATCTTCGTACTATTGACACATTGAGTATCAATTATATTCCCGCAAGGCTCAGCGGCCGTCTGATAGCCAACGGAAGGTCTTATCAAAGACTCAGAGTCACTGAACCAAACCATGTTGGGAGCCAACTCGTCTCGTTCGGCGGAAGGGCCCTCAGTAACGATTAAGGCACCTCCATTCAAAAAAGTATTCAACGGCGAGGCCGACTATGAGATCAGAGACTTTTTGAAAGACTTCGAGACATACTACCGCAACTGTTCGGACAAAGAAAAGAGGGAACAGCTCAGATGCCACCTTGGCAAGAGGGCGGTACTGTATTATGATAACGAAGAAGTATCGTTCATGAATTGTCGATCCTTTGATGAAGTGAAGCAGAGACTGATTGAATACTTCGATGCGGACGACGATGCTTTATCCAAATTCACGGAGCGCGCGCAAAAAAGTAACGAGGACCCATTGGACTTTGTGCAGACAAAACGGAAGCTGGCGAATCTAGCAAGAGTGACTCAAAACACGACTGAGGCGCAGCTGGTTAAGCACATTAAGTTGAAATTGACACCAGAATACCAAAAACAGGTAATGAACAGCCGAGATCTAACAATCAAGCAGTTAATAGAATCATTAAAAAATGCCAAACTTGTTCTCTCCCCCCCCCAGAAAAATCCGAGGACTCGGTTCTAGCAATAAATAGATCTCCAGAACAAAACTCATCGTTAGATTCCAGGATGAAATCCCAAGAAAACGCCATGGCAACATTAGCGGCAACAGTCGACTTGACCCGCGCAGAAATGGATACCATGAGAGACAACATAACCAGGGGTTTGGAAAAGCTGTTCAACGAGGCGTCGAGGCAAAGCACATACGGAGTACCGCCGAACCAAGGGCAGTATCAGCCGTACCAAGGGCAGTATCAGCCTTATCAGCCTTATCAAGGGCAGTTACAGTCAAATCAGGGACAATATCAGCCAAGTCAGGGACAGTATCAGCCAATCCGAGGACAGTTTCAGTCAAATCAGGGACAATATCAGCAACAAAGGGCAGGGATGCCCTCCAAGAAAAGAAAATGGACCCGAAACCAAGAAGTTGACGCCCTGCGTGTCTCAGCAAACTCCAGGAATCAGCAAAGTAGATGGAACGGGAACGTGAATCAGGCCGTTTCAAAGGCGCATTCTGCAAATCCTCATCAAAGCCAGTACAAGAATTTCCAACAACAAAACAATGCTGGGGGAACAGTGAGAGAAAATAAACAGGTTAAGATATTGTCAATCAGTTCTAAAGAGGCTTTGGATCCTTCAAACAGTACAGTAAAATCTCGTGATACTTTTGATACTAAAAATCCTAGAAGCAAATTTCCTGTAAAAAATGGGTGTCATATGTCTTTTGCTGA